CGTTTTGCTATGTCTTCCCCCTCAATTTGATAAATTTATCTCAGGGAACGAGCACCTGAGAGCGCCTGAGGGTCCCGCTGTGCTGGGGCGTGTCTCACCGGGGACGCCCCTCTTTCCAGCCTCCTACCTCCTTTCCAGTCACCACCTCGAGGACAACCTTCTGGGCCCTTCCCTGTCTCGGCACCAGACAGCCCGCTCTTTCGTGCCAAGCGGCCCTGAGCTCCCGGCCTCGGCGGGACCACCCCGCGCGCGGAGGCCGCCCACCCGGCTGGTCACGGGCGCCCGTAGGTCCGCCGCACTCACCTCGCCCGGCTCTGTCTCCACCGCGACCCCACCCCGGGGAGCTGGCTGAGTCTCAGGGTGAAAACGCCAGCGCAGCGAGGCGGCCTGCCTTCTTCCAGAAAGTGCGGTACCGAAGCCGCCCCAAGACAAGCGGACGAGAACCCTGGACGCCGCGGAAGCCCCCGCGGCCCTTCCGGAGCCACCCGGCCCCGCCCCGTCCCCGAGGCCCTTCCGGAGCCGCCGGCCCCGCCCCCTCCCACGGCCCTGTGGGAGCCGCCAGGCCCCGTCCCTTCCCGTGGCTTCCCGGGGCGGCCTCCTAGGCGAGCTGGTAGAGGGCATCATCAAATTGGGTAACCATCTGAGTAATCTCTCAGTCTGCTGACCCCAGGGTGGGCAGGGCGGGTATCTCTTCCAAAGGCTCATCCTTCAGCAGTACTGGAGCCTAGGGAGCTCTGGGGCCTTTGAGGGGTGCCTCTGCATTCCCCTGGCGTCAGGGCTTCTTGCTTGAGCCTTTCTGCCTGCAGCCACCAGGCAGCTTTTAACCATCCTGGAGTCCCCCCCAAGCCACGGCCCAAATGGAAACAATAAAGCTTCTGCAGCAGAGTTAAATAAAGCAAAATAAACAAATAAAAAGCTTTAGAAAGGGTCCGTTTATCTTTACAAAAAACCGTTTTATTCTCCCCTAGATTTCCCACATTCCCTCTATTCCCTTCCCCTATTAAGGTGGTATATAAGCTCCCAAATCTCACCTCTTTTGGGGGGGTGATTTTCTTTTTTTCATGTGAAACTCCTTGTGTATGTAGTATTTAAAATAATAAGTTTGTGAATCTATTCTCCTGTTAATTTGCTTTGTAGCTTATTTCATAGAGTCAGCTTTTGAACTGAAGTGTGGCAGATTGTGCCACCCCCAGATTTATCATTTGGGCATAAGTATTCTTTGAGCTGAGGATACAAGAAAAGCTCCCACCTTCCCCTATTTGCTTAAAAGCAGGACATACATTTTCATAGCCATTCCTTCTCCCATTTCTACCAAAAAGGACAGAAGTTAATCACACTGTTAGACACCCCATTTACCCATAAGTGGAAAAAGTCTTCTATCCCTCTGGGCTCTACAGGGAAGGACAAATAATTTTCTTTCTACCCTTCTGAATTTTGGGACCAGAGGAATCTGCATGACAAACTTTACTAAACAGCCTTTATTTCAACCCCTGGAGGCCTGAACCTTCTTTCTGCTGTCCTGTCATTTCTCCACAAATTTATTCTTTGTTGAAGATGCTATATAAGCTGGAATTCTTAATTGTCTCTTTGAATTACTCATTTTTCCGTGGGTATCTCCCATATATACATGAGGTGTGCATGTTAATAAACTTCTGCTTCTTTTTCTCTTGGAAACCTGTCTTTATTACAGTGGTCTCAGCCAAAAACTCAGAAGGGTAGAAAGAATATTATTTGTCCTCCCCTGTAGAACCCAAGAGGGTAGAGGGAAAGTCTTTTTCCCCTTATGCTTTCTGTGTATAAAGAGAGAAAAACTAAGTGTAAGGCGTAGCTGTTCTTTTAAGATGTACAAGTCATCTAACTCTAATGTAATCAACATGTGATTTAAGAAAAAGCTAATTAATGAAGATCTGGAGAATAGGCCCCATGAAGGAAAACAAAACCCAAACCAAACCAACACAAAAGAAAATGATACAGTGGAAAAAGGAAATCTGAAAATGTAGATCTTTCCACCTTCCTCAACACACAAACGCCTACAGACACAAACACACACATGCAGGCACGTGTGCATACACAGAGACATATACATGTTAAAATAAGTATAATTGTTTCAGTATGTAGCATAAGGCATTTGTGGAAACTTTCACTCTGATAAATATTAGCCAATTAGGAAACATAGGATTTTAGATTTTTATTTTTTATTTGCCTGCTTAGTAGTAGTAGTAGTAGATATTTTATTAATTTCTCAGAGCCTTTATTCATAACTTTTAAAATAGATGATCATTTTGCAGGAGGAGAGTAATAGTAGGCAATATATAAAAATGCTGGAGATATTGGGGTTCCGATTAAGTTACTTGCCTGACTGAAGAATAGTAAGAAATAAATTGTAATTATTTTTTGTTATTCAAACAACAGCACCACAAACATTTTGCTAAAGTTATCCTAATGTATGAATTTTCTAATACAGTCATAGCAAAGCACCACAAACTGGGTGGCTAAACAATTTATTGCCTAACAGTTCTGGAGGATAGACGTCTGAAATCAAAGTGTCAGCAGTGCTGGTTACTACTGAGAACTATGTGAGAGAATTTATCCATGTCTTTCTAGCGTTGGTGGTTTGCTGACAGTCTTTGTCATTCTTTGACATGTAGGTGCATCACTACAATCTTTGCCTTCATCTTTACGTGGAGTTCTCCCTGTGTGCATCTATTTCAAGTGTCCAAATTTCCCCTTTTTATAAGGACACAGTCATATTGGATTAGCGCCTACTCTAATCACCTCGTCTTAACTTGATCATCTACAAAGATGCTATTTCAAGAAAATTTTACACTTACAGGTGTTGCGAAGTTAGAACCTCACCATCTTTGGGGGCAACATAATTCAACCCATAACACTTAGAAACTTCGGCATCATTAACACAAGTACAGTTGTGTTAACTTGGAGAAAGTAAAAAAGGAAAGAAACACAAACATCCCAGTTAGATAATTGGGGCTCATGTGCCCCAGTGACACTCATGTTTCTTTATAACTAATTTATTTCTGGTACAAACACTGTATTTTGTCAATTCTAATATATACCTTTTTACATTTTAAAGTTTATTAAATCATAATGGATATTAAAAATCAGTGATAATTTATAATTCTAATTGCAAGCTTTTTTCCCTTTATTAATGATGATTAAAATAATATGTCTTAAACTAGATACCATTGTACATCCTATGATATATGACAATGTGTTTCCTTTTGCAGTATAAGTTAAACCTGAATCATCGTTACGTATAAATCCCATTTAACCAGGTCAAACCTGTATTCTCTCTTTGCCCAGTTTATTTTAACAACATGTAGTACTCTTAGAGAAGTCATATTTGTTCAACAGAGAACGTGAAATTAGAAATCTGCACGCAAGTTTGTGCATCCCATAATATTGTGATTGAAAATAACCTTCAATCAACCAAGCATATGATCATTGATTATAATCAAAACCTCTAAATGCATTAATCATATCTTTTTTCTTTTGGTTCCAAATCCCCAGTCACCTTTTTAATTTTAATATTACTAAACTTGATTAAGTGTCAGTATGTTCAATTCCTTTGTGGATTGTTAGTACCAAATTATATCATAATTCAGCCCTTTTGCAAAAATCTTCCTTAAAAAGTTTGTGATTGCTTTTTTTTAAGAATTGTACTCATCATTTGAATGATGTGCACTATGAAAGCTATGTAAAATGCAAAGACGTGGATATCATTTGTGCCTGTTTTTATATGATTCTGTGTACTAAACATACACATTTTGTTCTCAAATTCTCTTCTCAATAATATTTGTCTCACAGCATTTGGAAATACAGCATTTTCCTCAGTTAAATAACCTGTCACTATCATGTTAACCATGTTTTGACCATCTGCCATGTTTGTTTCAAATCAGATTGGTGAATAATTATTTCCACAAGCACAATACCTTTGAGAGGAAAGCTTAGGCAAAGCACACGGAATTACAATTTTCACTATATTCATTAGCATTAATATTCATTCACAAACACATAGATGTATTTATTTTATCTTGTTCTGGTAGATTAACACACTAAGAGGATTGAGCTATGCAAGGGTTGGGGCATGTTTAGTCAATACATTTCTCTAAGGGACATTTTGTTCTTTGTTAAATGAGAACAACGAGACCAAGGGCACTCTATTTTTTGTTTGTTTGTTTGTTTGTTTATTTTTATGTTTGTCTGTGGAGGGTCTTGCTCTGGTTGACTAAGGTTCTGCTGTGGTACCATTTTTATATGGGGCTGAAATTTTAATTAGTCCTTTGAGTCTTAGCCAGTTGTCTTTTGGCGACTCAACGTACATGTCTTCAATCACTCTCTCTGACACCAACTACGTCCTGACACTCTCTTTCCTAATTAATGCACTTGCATAGGTTTAAATAATTAACTTACTACTAATGTAGAAGCCCTATTTATAAAATATTTTTGGAGTGTCTTAAAATTTGTCTTTTTATTGTTATAATGACTATTTGCTTTTAACCTTTGCTGAATACAGCTCAACTGTATCATGCTTCATCAACATTATTCAATTAAATATTATTTTGTGTAATCAACTATATTATTATGCTTGTTTATATAATTTCACTTTATTGATATAGATTAATCCATAATGTCTCACATAAGGAAGACACTTTTAAAGCACTATAAAAACAATATTATGACTATTGATAGCAATAAATTTGAGAAGTATTATTATTACAACCTTTAAAGTAAGAAAACAGAATTATAACTTGAAGTTGACAATTTTTGGTTTACTGGAAGGTGCACGAGTACAAGAAGCTAAGTATTAGCCTGTGATTTCAAAAGTTTCTTGAGATTATTGGTATGATTATCTCCCTAAGAAAAAAAGAGGCTAGTTAGTCAGTTACAGTATGAAACGGTATAGTCATTGACCTACCATTCTTTTGTTTGTTGAGTATTTCTCAAAAGGAAGATATGATTCTTCTAAGGGACATAATTAATTGTTTTGGTCTCCAACCTGAAAGTAAGTGAGCCCCTGAAAAGTAAGATACATGTCTGCCATTTACAGCCTTATTGGAGATGCCTCAGTCAGAAATACTCCAATTCTGATACACAGGGGAGGAGGAGACACACACACACACACACACACACACACACACACGCACACAGATCTCAGACCTAATCTGAGGAGGGGTAGCTGCAGACAATACTTCACTTATTTAGATGACACCTTTTGAAACCAAACTGTACCCAGTGGCTTTCTTTGAAATAACCTATCAGTAAACTAAACACGGCTATAGCCATGCCGTGGTCCAACATAGGGAAATACATACATATCTGAAACATGATTATATCCTGCCAGAGACAGGAGTAAGAACAAAGAGGAATTGGAAACATACCACTTTTTCCTCTATTTTTGCCATAAGACCCAGCTAACACATTATTAGTCTTTTTATTCTTTTTTATCCCTCCAAGTGGGTATTACTTAGGGTTCTCCA